TGAGCTATGTTCTGGCGTGACCATCTCGGTCAGGCCAAATTCTAAGTCTTGGACCGAGGTACCCTCCTTGGCCCGACCGGACTCACCACTCATATCAAAGAGGCTACTTGTGCTACTAAACATATTGAAATGAAAGACAAAAATGGGCAAAGGCAAGAAAAGAAGGCTTACCGAAGGAAGGAGACAACCTCAGAGACAAGACAAAGAGCACCTACCCCAAGGCCCCTATTTATAGCCACTCTAGTCGGTCATGGATGGGTCAGATCAATTTCATCCAATGTCTCCCATAAAAACCGGCCACACAACTTTTGAGGTCAAAATTAGTTGAGCACACATTTTGACGTCCATAGAGGTTTTAATCCGAGTGACGTCCGCGCGTCCCTGGTACACGATTTGGCTTTACGGTCGAGTCGGTTGGGTCATCACATTCTAACCTCTGGACCGAACCTCGACCGGGCCAAATCTACCTAAGCTCGCCATGAACTCCCCGTATCGGGTCAAGACCCCTAGCACGGGGAGTGGGGGGCAATTGATGAGGGGTTATTTGTCCCAACCTACTCATATGCAGACACATGGAAGCGATTGACCTGCTGATTGGACATTGACTCGGCACTTCCTGCCACCTCTGTAGGCCGGGTCACCTCAGGTACCTCGGGCACCGAGCACCTCGGCTAGGACCGAGGTTCGAGTAGCTCATGACGGCCCAACCTGCCAACCTGACATGTAGCCATCTAGAAGTGAGCCAGCTGTCTCTGAGCTCTTCGGGATCACGCCACATGACTGTAGGTCTTATCCTTATCCCACCCGAATCAAACGGAGACGATAAACCTTATCGGCTAGCACGAAGTCCTCCTCCTGTTGTAGAACAGACTCCTAACAGCATGGGCCCAAGATCTCAAAGGTGTTTCGTGAGGCCCACGACAACTTACCTATTTAAGGATATCACCCCCAGCGAGACAAGGTACGCGTGATTTACTGCTTACTAGCACTCTAGCATTCAAGCATCCAATTCACTCAAACAAGAGTACTAACTTAAGCATCGGAGTGCCCACACCTGGTAAGCCACCCTGGGTTCTATGAGCTTTCCTCTGCTGGCAATTCAACTGGCTAGATAAGAAATCAACGTCCAAACTGCCCTCCAGCTAGAAGCAACTAAATCACACACAATCATATTGAATCATCATTTTCCATCTAGAAAACTAAGGGAGGGGAGGTATTTATATATTTTTTCAAAATATTATGGGAAGTGTTTGTTAGAGTTCAAACACTTGGGAGGTTTAACGGATTGTCAAAAAATGCAGGGAAGGTTTTTATGATTTTGCAAATAAATTTTAAGCTTACCGCTAAAACATCACCCAAAAGAATAATTAAGGCACTAAACTTTTGGAATTTTAATAAGGCCCCGTTTGGCATATCTTTCCATGCGGTCTTTCAGCTATTTACAAGCCAGGAAGACCGAAAATCAATCTATTGCCATTTGGCACATGAAAAATCTCGCCACCAAAAGACAGGGTGCCGAAAAGATGCGAGAAGCCCATTTTGGGTTGATTTCGAAAAGCTTCAAATGAAGCTTCCCACGTCTTCCACGTTTTAATCTCGTGTGGAAAGACCCGAAACGATGCACGGAAAGATGTGCATCTGCCAAGCTGTCTTTGGGCTGCCCGGATCTTATGTCAAAAGTTGAATACGTCTATTGACTGTGAGAGCTATGAGAAGATCTTCTCAAAAAGACTTGCCAAACAGGCCCTAAATCTTTCAAGACATTAAACTTTTGGAATTTTGTCCTTAAAGAACAAGATTGTTTGGTAACATCTAGGACTACCGAACTGCTAAAAAAAAATTGGAAGCTATTTTAAACACAAAAAGATCAAAAGATTCAATAGAACTTCCTGATTTTTAGTTATGTTGGTCTTTCTATGTGCTTATCTTCGGCTCTTCGGTCCATAGGATACCAAATGAAAAGGACCATTTTTTGATCTTTCAAAATTCCCATAGACCGAAAGACACACATAAAAAACATGCCAAACACCCTTTAAATTTGACATTGGAGGGACCCAATATTAGATGTGAGTATAAAAGACAACAGTAGGAAGCTCCCCTAGGGAGGTCAGAGAGGTGGTTGAATGAAGACAACATTGGCAACAAAACAACCACTGTTTTATTAACAATAAGTACTAGCAAAAGGGCCCTGCATTGCAGGGGCTAGTGGAATTGTGAAAATTCTATGTAAACTATTTGCTTTAAAAGGATGAGGGAAAAAATTTAATAATTTCAGTAAAATGATAAAAATGATCTAAGTTTTTATCACTATCTTTGTAGTGAAAGCTATTTTAAATCATTTTTCATTTATTAATTTTTATTTATAGGGCTAGTGGAGTTTTGAAAGTTGAATGTAAACTATTTGCTTTAAAAGGGAAAAAATTTAATAGTTTCAATAAAATGATAAAAATGATCCAAGTTTTTATCACTTGTAGTCAAAACTATTTTAACTCATTTTTCATTTACTAATTTTATTTACAGATAAAATATTTGAATGATAACATGTAAAATTAATTATACATTTAAAAATAACAATGCCATACAAATAAAGGTACATTGACAATCCAGAGTCAAGATCCAACTCAGGTTTACTCCAACTTAGCACCTAGTGACGTGTTGAAATGTGATTGGACTCGAAGAGAAAATCCCTTCGCGTCCAAACGCATTAAATCCGAAGTGCATCCCACTCTTCCCAGATAAGAAAATAATGTCCACCCTGACCTTGAGTCCCCACCATATGGATAGTCAACTACAACCTACACCCAATAGAATATGATTGTTAAGAAAGAAATCAATTAATCTTGCAAAGTCTTCCCTTTGATCAAAACGTGTCCATTCCTACATATCATCCTTAGACTCCAGTTGCAGTCTTCGTAGTCCGTTCATCATGATGTAATTCTTGTGGGAAGAAAAGTTGAGAAATCAAGATAAAAGTTGAAGGAGAACAGACCGATAGTTAAATGAGAGTTCTGGTTCTCCCTGCCAAATAGTTACTCCTTGTATTCTAAATAAAAAATAAAATAGAGAAGAGCACCACCATCTCACACCAATCTCCATTCCAACTGCAAACAAATATAGAAGAAACACGATTAAACCTCAATACCTCTAGAAACCATCGAAATAAAAAGGAAAATGAAAATACACAAGTACAATAAAGTAGGCACAATGAAGACAACCTCAATAGTCAATAATACTTAAATTGCAAAACAGAGGGAGTCGAATCTTGTAAAATAAAAAACATAAAGAAGGAGAAATAGATCACATCAAGCTGGGAAAAAAACAAAGTAATTTGGAAAAGAAAAATAACAAACGAAAAGCCATCTATCCTAATCGACAATCTTAAATCACACAAACATATGAACTTGAATTACAAACACAGTATGAAGAAATTACCCACATGCTCTAGGTCACAAAAGCCACCCTTGAACTCCATTTGTACCAGTGAACGAAAGGGAATCTTGCAAACATAGAATGAATAAAAGGGAAACCTGCAAAATAGACAAAGAAACATGTGAATAGAAAAAAAAGACAAAACAAATAGCAAAGGAGATCAAGTTAGATGATAAAAAGACAAATAGAATGAAAAACAACTAAAACCCTAAACTCAAATCAAACCACCATTGCAACCTAAATCTGAAGAATACTTAAAGGAGCACCTTAAAAAGAATGAAAACCTGAAAAAAAAAAGAAAATGGAAATATTAGTGTGGTTACAATGAAAAGCAAATCAAATAAACCACATAACTAATTCAAACAACAGATTATCCAAATCATTGCAAATAATAAGGAAAAAAAAGCCTAGTGATTCTTCTAAAATGAGAGAGATGAGGTTTAAGAGAGGAAGAGATGAGAGAGAAATGATTCTTCATATAAGTGAGGGACGTCAGGCATTCTCGAGGAAAGAAAGATTGCAGGGAAAAAGTGGGAGAGAGATGGCAGAATACTCTCAAATTGGATAGAAACCATCAATGGTTAAAGAGAGTTATATAAAATAAGAAAAAAATAGCATTGTCATTAACTATAAGTGGGAACACATGGCATTTAAAAAAAAATTAGTTCGAACACATGGCATTTCAAAAAATTAGTGGGAACACATGGCATTTAAAAAAATTAGTTTGAACACATGGCATTTCAAAAAATTAGTGGAAACACATGGCATTTCAAGAAATTAGTTTGAAAACATAGCATTTCAAAAAATTAGTGCGGACACATGTATCTTGCACGCTTGGATAGGGTTAAGCATGTAATTACTGACCTCGCAATAGAAAACGGATGCTCTCACATGGGAATCTACTCGCATGAGTATATTCCATTTGCTACATGGAGAGAGCATCCCAATCGTATTAATATAGATATATAAGATGTCATATATATATATATATATATATATATATATATATATATATATATATATATAAATGAATTAACCAACCACTTTTTTGTGACAAAAATGTAAAGCTGTGTTTGGTTGCAATGCAAACAAATTTGTATTGATGCAAAATTATGGCAGTGCAAATGGTTTGATTGTAAATTTTAACCTATTTTTGTTTTAAATTTTAATTTATTTTGTTTGATTGCTATAAAAATAAAGTAAATTAAGACATGAACGTAAAATCTAAAATAAAATTAAACGAAAATTTGCATTTTCTTCATTTGCATTCCTATGCATTTATACTAATATAAATAAAATTGCGTTGCAACCAAACATAGCCTAAAGAACAGAAGCAACATTACTAATTGCTCCCTGGCTTGGAAAAGAGAAAATCTAGGGCTGTTGAACCCCACGTATCACCCATCCATATTGAAGTGTATAAGAGAGGAAATTCGGATCTGGTAAATTTCCATATTGAAGTGTATAAGGGACACAACAGAGTGAATGGATGTGTAAGGCTCCGTTTGATTTGTGGGATGAGGATGAAAAAAAGAATATTTTAAAAATATTCACTTTTTCTTTATTTGTTTTGGGGAAAATAGAGGAATAGGATGGAAAAAGGGTAAGATGCGGGGTGTCAAAAATAAGAACGCGACCCCACTGAGAAAGGGAAAATCGAAGACGCGTATCTAGGAAATATTATCGCCTTGTCATAGAGGAAGATCCTTCGTCATCCCCTGTCTTCTTCCAGGCATTCCAACGGTCATATCTTTGGCCACTTTTCCGACATCTTTGAACGGCGGTAAGACTACATTCAAGATCTACTCGTATTAGGGATTCTATCTCTAGCTTTTTTTTTCTTAGATAGATTATTCCCTTTCCATATACAAGAACCCTACGCACTCTCTCCATTTCCCGCTTCAAGCTCTCATCCTCTGCTTTGCCCTGGTTTTTGCGAGTTACCTAAATTCCTTCAAAACGAACTGCATTTTTTCGAAGCTCTTCTTCTCTAGCTTTTCCTTTTTTATGGTTTTTTTATACTTTGCTTTCAAGTAATTTATTGGAGTCGAGATGGCTGCCTTGAATGATCTCTCTTTGCCCTTCTAGGCTTTCATAGACCAAATCGAAGAAGACTTTCCATTTGTTGCTCTTCTACTCTGTTGACGCTCCCATCATGATAGGTATCTATCTTTCTTTCTTTAGTTACTTTTTCTATTAATTACTTTTATGTTAGTTCTTGTTATTTTGTTGGAGTTGAATGATGCTTCTGCACACTTGTTGAACAATAAAAAAGCACCCAAACCAAACTCAGCCATTACTTTTTTGGTTGTCTATGAAATCAATCAACTTCAAAATTAGGGCAACCATAAAATTGGATCCCTTTACAATGGAAAATTACTTGAAGTTACAAACAGAAACTCGGAAATGAAAATTATACTCCAGAGAGATGTCTTCAGATTGTTGAACTCTGTGATGTATATAGGTATAGCCTAAAGGGAATATGAAAATACTAGAATTTGGGAGGATTGGTCAATTGGTGGTGTGAAATGACTCATGCAGAAGTTGTTGTTTTTTTGTTGGCATTATAATATATCCAAATTTTGATATACAGATTAAATGAATTCTCTGAAACAAGACTAGTCTGGTGAATATGATCCTTGGTGTTTTGATCATATTCACCAAGACTGATCATAGTGAATATGATATTTGCCTGCTCTTTTCTTTTCTGAATATTCATAGTAATTCTCTTTGGTTAAACTAGACCGATCCGATTCTCTTTGGTTTAATAAGACTGATATGATTCTAGGACTTGAACTCTTTGGTTTAACAAGACTGATCTGATTCTAGGAGTTGAACTGTTTAACTCTTTGGTTTAATAAGACTGATCTGATCCTTTTCAACACTGGGCATGCACTACTCCAAATATATGCTATTTTTCTTCTTTTTTCCCATTTTTATCCATCTACTCCTATCTTTTGCTGAATCTTAGGTTTTCAAAGAATTTCTACAATTTTGGGCTCATTCGAGAGGGTTGGGCTGAAGATTCAACCAAGATGTTCAGCTGCTTTGAAGTGCTCTAGATAAGTTATTCAAAGAGGCTGAAGTGGACAGCCCTTTAAACGACTCGCTAATGACTGATTTGGACTTTTTGGATTTTTCACCAAACATAGCTTATAGGCTGTCCATGTGGGGCCCACCTCGAAAATCCTGAGTCTATAGTGCTTTAGTCACAAGTCACAACCAGAACTAATTGCTTTTTCACTTCCCATTTTTTATGAGGTTTTACATTTTTACCTAATTAGCTGGAAAACTACAAGTCATTGAGGTTGTGATGACTGTAGATACATCTCTGTTGAGTTTTTGCTTTTGTTCCAAGGCAAGGATATATATCAAGATGGTCCAAGGTTTACTTTGCCATGCTAGTTCTTTTTTTTAATGAAGTTCACTTGTATAAGCCATGATTTATGTTTTCACCTATCCCTTTTGGTAGGTCAAGTCAGCTAGCATACAATCAACACAGATAATTTGATGATGTTAGAATGAATACAGAAGTTAATGCTATTGTAAGGAAATAAAATTAATTAATTTGTTCTCGTATTCCTAATTAAGGGATTGTTTATGTTTTAATGGGCCTTTGTACCTTCAATAAGTTCTCAAGAACTTAATTTCATTATACTTTGATGTATGTGATATTCTGAGTTGCCTAGGTCAGAAGGTAACCAGTATGGTTGTTTCTTTCATGATGTTAAGAGCTTTAGACAACACTAGTAAATAATGTTCATTTAAATGTGTGTAACTTTTTACTCATCATCATTATCATTGTCCTTGTCTCCATCTTTTACTGTGATTTTCTGCATATCTGAAATGGTAACCAAATGTGAGATAAGAGGATTAAGTTGTATATCTTTTACTGTAATTTTCTTCTTTCTTTTCACCTCCAATTTTCATTGCTATTTCTTTTTTCTTCTTTTTCTTTTCTTTTTTTTTTGGGGATGGGGGGAGGAGGGGAGTGGGGAGGTGTTCATGCCTTTCTAAAAAAATAAACGAAGCTAATGCCTTCATAAATGGCTAAACACTGCATCAGAACATAAGGTTGAGCAACCAAGTTGGTGTACAAGTTTAAGCGGTTGATCAGCTTATGATAACTTGCATGGAAAAGGAAAAAGAAAAGTGTGAGTGGTTAATTCAATTTTCAGGAAAAAAAAATGTGCCAACTTCTTCTTCAAATATGTAACTATTTATCAAAAAAAAAAAAAAAAAAACACTTCAAAAGATACGTGATTCATATTAATGTATTTGATTCAATTTCCTAATTCAAATAATGATTCATTATAAAACTTTAAATGGTGTGGATCTCATTCTTAAGGTTGTTAATTACAAACTAAAACCTGATTTAATTTTTTTAAATAAAAAACTCAATTAAAAAACAAGCATATAAATAGTAAATCTCATACACAAAATGATACATGGTTTTAGTTGCCCCGTCCTTTAGCATTTGCTTTAGTGGTTAAGATGTAACATTGTAACTGAAACTATTACTGTGGTACTCAATAATGCATATTACTTTTGTACACTACTCATAGAAGATTGTCAGTGGATCCAACTAAGAATTAATGGCGCAACTTGGGCGGGTTGGGTTGGGTTGAAGGTGCAAACCTCAGGCTCAGGCCTGGCCCAACAAGAGGTTAAGCCCAAGTTTATGAACCCAGGCCTAACCCAAGCTTAATCCAACACAACTTGAGTTGGATTGGGGCTTAGGCTAGGCTAGGTTAGTAGGGCTTGGGGGTAAGGGTGTCAATGGACTAGTTTTGGGTTGGACTCTGTCCAGTCCAAAATTAATTTGAACGGATTGGACCAATCCGGTCCAAAATATTTATTAGATTGGATTGGACCTGGTCCGTTCGTAATAAATTTATATTGATTTGGATTGGATTAGGTCAATATCGGGTCCATTGATATAAGATAAGAATATACGTGTCAATAGACTAGGTTTGGGTTGAAACCAGTCTAAATCAAAATGAATTTGAACAGATTAAGCGGTCCAGACATTGAATTGGACCGGTCCAAATTGGTCTAAAACATTCATTGGTTTGGATTGGACCTGATCCATTTATAATGGACTCACATTGGACTGGATCGGATTGGACCAAATCCAGTCCATTTGACACCCTACTTGGGGTTTGATCGTGTTTGAAAGAATTTATATGTATTATTTTTACATAATCATCTTTTATATGTACAAATTTTATTTACAAATGCACATACTTTATGCATATACACATGATTTCTACCAAAAATGCATATACACATGTATATATAAGGGTGTCAAGTGGACTGGTTTTGGATTGGACCCCGTCCAGTCCAAAATCAATTTGGATGGATTGGACGGACCAACAAGACATATTGGATTGGACTAATCCGGTCCAAAATATTTATTAGATTGGATTGGACCTGATCTATCTATAACAAATTTACATTAGATTGGATTGGATTAAGCCAATATCTGGTCCATTGATATAAGATAAGAATATGTGTCAATGGACCGGGTTTGGGTTGAAATCAATCTAAATCAAAATGAATTTGAACAGATTGGACGGTCCAGACATTGAATTGGAACGGTCCAAATTAATCCAAAACATTTATTGGATTGGACCTGGTCCATTTATAATGGACTCACATTGGACTGGATCGGATTGGACCAAATCCAGTCCAATTGACACCCCTACATGTATATATAATTAGAAAAGAAAATATATTTTTATATAAATATAATACATATATGTATGCATTTGTTTGGGCAAGATGGCAGGCCTAGGTTGGGTTGACCAATGCTAGAATTGGGCTCGGGCTACCCATGTCCTTAACTCAAGCCCAACCCAAGTTTAGGCCAGATCCAAGTTCTCTGGCCCAGGCCCAACCCATGCAAAAACTTCCATTGGGTTCGACCCGCCTCAGTTGCACCCCTACTAAGAAAGCCCTCCATTGGATGATTCTTTGAAATAATCTGTACTATTGTAGAGGCGTACCTTGTTTTTGCTTAATTTTTTTTATATTTTAACAAAAATACCCTTTAAGGATACCCAAATTTATAAAATTACCCTTATTGAGGAAAACTAAGTTTTTCATTTAATTTATTATACTGTTCATCGTCTTCCTTCGAACTCAAACCAGTGGCGTAGACCAGGTGAGTTCCAATCTCCCCTCATCTCTCTCTCCCCCTCTTTTTTTCGATTTATTATACTGTTCATCGTCTTTCTCCCTTCGAACTCAAAACTAGTGGCGTCGACGAGGTGAGTTCCAATCTCCCCTCATCTCTCTCTCTCTCTCTCCTCCTCTCCCTCTTTCTATTTTTCTCCTCTTCTCCTTCATCTTTTTTTTCGCTTGCCTCTGCTACTTGAACCCGTAATGATAGCAAGACCTTTGTCCCTCCTGTTTTCCTTGATTTCAGCCACCCCTGTTTTACCATACCTTGTTCGCCGCCTCATCACTTGCGCCTCTACCGGACTATCATCACTTGCGCCTCCACCGGACCTCTCTCCATCTCTGACGATGCCACTACTATTTTAGTGCAACCGTTTCAGTGCACCTCTACTGAATCTCAATCAGTTTGACTTGTATTTTTCGCGTGTTTGCTGCCTCATCACTTGCGCCTCCACCGGAACTCTCTCCATCTCTGACGACGTCGCTACTATTTCAGTGCGCCTCCACCGGATCTCGATCAGCTTGACTTGCATTTTTTGCGTGTTTGCCGCCTCATCCCTTGCGCCTCCATTGGACCTCTCTCCATCTCTGACGACGCCGCTACTATTTCAGTGTGACCGACCGTTTCAGTGCACCTCCACCGGACCTCGACCAGCTTGACTTGCATTCCAAGTTTTGGGAAACCGTGTCTTATTATTTCTCGGTTCGTCTCACAAAACAAACGAATGAAAATGAAAATCTAAGAAGATTATTCTCATTTTCTCTTAAAATGGAAATCTAAGAAAAATATTCCTATTTTCTCTTTTCCGTCGCACCAACCAAACAGACTGTAAGGCTAAACGGTAGGTTGGGCAGTGAGAACATTGAAGTGGTCAGTACCTACTCATATTTGGGCGGTGAAGACTGAAGAGAAGTATGTAAAAGCTACGATATTTTTAAGTCCATATACTGATCATAGTGTGATAGTCTCATGCTTCAAGACCAAGTGCAATATTGGGTTTCTACTCCTGGAGTGAGGTACAAGTGAAAATTCAAAATTTTGCCGTTGGTTTGATATTTGCATGTTTGTCTGTCAGTTTAACTTCTTCCATACAAAAAAAGGGTAAAATTGGAACCCTTCGGACTCATCCAGAATTTCGTTTTTTGTTTGGGAAGCAAAATAAACACGGGAGATGTCATGCAGAAGAAAGAGAGCTGGAACAGTTCTTCTCTCACCCCCGTGGTTGTGTTCTCTGTTGAAAGGATGAAAAATCCATTTCACACCTGTTAGTGCATTGCCCCATAGCCAGAAGATTATGGCGTTGGTGTCACTTCCTAAACCTCCACAATTTGGATTGGGTTGCTCAGAACAATCTGTTGGACTTTCTGATCCAATGGCGCTATTGTGATGTAGGGAAGAGGGGGAAGATTTACTGGAGCTTCATTATTGACGCACTGGGCGGGTGATTTGGCGGAGAGGAATGGCAGGAATTTTTTATAATGTCTCAAGACCAATCGAAGCTTTGGAGCAACAAGTGCTTAATCTCTGCAATTCTTGGGCTGTTTCAGCCAAGGAGTTCACGGAGATCCCTCTCGGAGACATGTATAGTACAGATGCCTTCAGCCTTCAGCCCTCACCTCCACAAGAATCAGATTTCCGGCTGCTATTTGATGGTAGCTAACTCTCTAGGCAATGGGGAGTGATTCCCCATCTCCGCTCTGCCCCGTTGCCATTCTTAATCAAAAGATAAATTCCAAAATCGCCCCGCCCTGCTGAATCTAATCCGAGTCTGTCAATATGGGGAAGTGATTTCCACACACACTAGCATTTTGCATAAATATACTAGTGAAAATTGAAAAACAAAGAAGCCATTTTTGTTGTCAAAGAAATCAAAATATGAGGGCATTTATGTCTTTTAACACATGTATTCTTTGGGTACTGATTAGATTAGGGTAAGGGGTGTGCCCAAATCACACCCCTAAAAATAATATTATACCTTTTTAATGTTGGTATAAGCACATTAAAAAAGAAGTATTCCATTTATAAGAAAATAGTAAAGAAAGTGAATGTATAGAGGTACTTTTGTCCTGATAAAAGGAACTTTTTGGCTATTACTCAAGGCTATATATACATATGCATTGTTTATTAATCAAAACCAACAGTGTAAATCAGAAGGTGGTCATCGTGGAGCTTAACAGGTGAATACAATAACCCTGTGGTTCACATAGAAATAGAATAGATGAAATCGAGTTTAACCATGTTGGAAGAGCCCACAACCAAGCAGCCCATGGGCTTCTCTGGGCTATTTTGCTTCCAATTTATCTTCAGACATTTTACTACTCCTGTGGCTACTCGATCACCCGACGGTTTCCAACCAATCTAAACTGTCCATTTTGGACGACTAGCATATTTATCATCCATCAGTCATGAGTTGTATAATAATAATAATAATAATAATTCAATTTCAAGATACTTGTGCACATAGGTACACAGGTGCTTGCTTTATCTTTTTCCCCGCCCAAAAGGTGCTCAAATGAATTCTTTGGACGGTGGTCCCTTTTCCGAGCTATTAGCCTGTTCCAGTCATGCTCTGAGAAAGTAACTCGCGAGCCAGTGGAATACTGCTTTTATTAAGTGCGTCAACAGTTTTATGCATCCCCAGCTAAAAGAAGCTAGATTTGGCCTTTGACAAGAAGATAGAGACTAGAGCTTCGACTGTTAAAACTCCAAATCATCCATCAAAGACTGCATCTTTGGTGTGGCCTAGTTTTAGATAGAATTTCTCTCCATGTCAACCGAGCATGATTCTCCATTGCAGGTGCCAAGTCACATACAGCAAAATAAAAAAATCTTACGGTCCTTAGCCATGCCATATCCACGTTCTTGTGCATATACAACTTGCCCAGTGTGAACGGTCTAGAGAAAAGAAATATTCTGCTAGCTTTACAGCCATCCAAAATTCTAATGGAATTTGTCCGCGCTGCCTTTTATGAAGATTGGTGGTCTCACGCTATAAAAGCCATAAAGCTTCAATCCTTCTTTGACATTATTCCTGCATTTTATTTCTAGAGGCCATGTCCTCCCAAAAACAGCTTCAAGTTCAATTAGAAGATGGTAACACACAAAAATGGCGTGTATCATTGAGGGAAGATGTCTTTCATTCCTTCATTTCTAAGGACAATCCCACCGTGCTTAAGGTCTTTGGTGATGGATCATTCTTCAGCCCGTTGTTGTTTGGGAAGTTCTTCGATCCATCTGATGCCTTCCCTCTATGGGAGTTTGATGCAGAGGTTTTGTTGTCCTGTCTCCGGAGTTCTGGTCAGAGCAATGTCAACTGGTTTGAAACATCTATGGAATACGTTCTACAAGCAGAACTTCCAGGTAACTGTTCTTTAAATGTCTTTCTGATTCTCAGTTGCTACCTCATGCTGTCATGCATAGTCATGCACTGCATCTCCTGTGCTCTGTTTCTTCCTTCATGATTATGAACCCAAGGCACCACATGTAAACCAACATCAGATTGCAGCAAGGATACAGGAAGATTGTGGAACTTGTGGTACTTTAGGTAAATCAATTTCTATGAAGGAGCCTGCTATTAGATCCATGTTCCAGTCAATTTATGATATTCAGCTCTTAAATAGGAATAGTTGAGGACAAGACAGAGACTTCTTAAGAATCATATTAAAAGCTCCCGGTTGAATAAATTCCCTAACACTACTGATTTCAAAACCAGGATGCGGGCTACACAGCACTCAAGTATGTCTGGAAAACGGGAAGGTTGTGGAGATAAGTGGGCAATGGAGGCAGCAACGAGAATCCAATCCAGTGGACTGGAGAAGTGGCTCCTGGTGGGCATATGGGTACGTTCGACGGCTTGAACTGCCAGAGAATGCAGAATGGAGAGAAATGGAGGCAAAAGTCTATGATGAAAGGAATTTGGAGATAAAAATTCCTAAGAAACACCTGGACTCCAATATTCCTCAAAAATGTGATGTGGCACTCAAAGATTATGAACTTGTATAAGCTAATGGCATAATATCAAAAAAACAGGCTGCACATAAATAAATTTGATTTAACATAATGGAGTTGATGAGTGATTACAATACCACAAAAGGGAAAATCCAATCTGTGATGATACTACACAAATTTAGTAGACAGAAAAAGGAAGAATTGCTGAAGTGGTATAATAATACATTAAGGAAAAGCATGAAGAAGGCTAGAGATAGATATATCCTATTAACAGTTGTAAATTTGTACTGGATTTTGTTACACTAGCACAATATCATATGTAACCATATAGATGTTACTTCATTAGCAAGGAGAAGGGAATGCAGAAAATGCTTCATTGCATCATAAACTGGTGCAGATTTAATCTGGCTGCTAAAACATGGTTTTTTTTTCCTTTTTGGTATTACAAACTATACATTCAGGGCAATCAGTGGTAGGGCAGAGCACGGTGCATGTGAGGCCCACTGACCATACCACGGACTAGGGGTGTCAATTGGACTGAATTTGGTCCAATCTGATCCAGTCCAATGTGAGTCCATTATAAATGGACCAGGTCCAATCCAGTCCAATTAATATTTTGGATCGATCCAATTCAATGTCTGGACCATCCAATCTGTTCAAATTCGTTTTGTTTTAGATTGGTTTTAACCTAAACCTGGTCCATTGACACCTATATTCTTATCTTATATCAATGGACCAGATATTGGCTTAATCCAACCCAATCCAATATAAATTTATTATGGACGGATCAGGAACAATTCAATCTAATAATTATTTTGGACCGGATTGGTACAATCTAATATGTCTTGTTGGTCTGTCCAATCCGCCCAAATTGATTTTGGACTGGACGGGGTCCAATCCAAAACCGGTCCATTGACACCCTTACCACGGACAGCCTGCAGTTCCATGGGTTTGATCCCATGCCTCCTATTTGGAGGGATGCCAAGTGACCATCTTGAGAACTGTGTCAACAGCTGCTAAAACATGGTATTGTTCATTCACATTTGATGGCATTAACCTTTTTTTCCACCATGCACAATAGCAGTATGATACACAATTTTATGCAGTAAATTACTATATCATACATGTGAATTTTCATTTAGCAAATATCATGCAAATCCAAAGGACAAAAATGCAAGGATCCAGAACAAAGAACTTTGTATTTCCATTCATAACTTTAAGTTAAAAAAATATGTTTAAATGATATTTTCAATGATCAAGAACAAACTGTGAGCGCATGGATACGACAGCAACAGTTGATTCTGTGGATCTAGTGGTGGGTTGAGGAGGATGGAAAGTGGCCGGACCCCCTTGAGGGGCTGTACTATGTATACTTCAGAGAGGGATCAGGCTGTCATAGTTTGCAGTCCCCCGCCCCTCTTGCATGAGAATGAATTTATATATGGAGGGCTTCTGGAACTTTCTTATGACTAGGGTGGTCAGCTATCAGCCACTAGTCTGCTCTTATACAGTTCCTACATTACTGTTTGGTAATCCAGGTTGGTCATTGGACCAGGTCAATTCAGTTTGGTTCCGGTTCAAGGTGAAGTAGTCCCAGTCTATGGCGGTTTGTATGTCTGTGCTCTTACACAAACTTCATTGCAAGTCTATTCAATAAAAATATCTTAATCCCACTGCCACGTATTTGTATGGTCACCAGCAATCCTTACATGAACAAGTCCCGTTTTCAAAAATGGTGAAAATGACAACCATCCTTTACAATAATTGCCATAGTTGCCCACCCAGTAACCATGGCCAATTGGCCATCAACTTAACTACATTATGGTAATCACCACAAATGAGATGGCTCTACAACTTCTACGATGGTGCTGAATGATCTGATACATTGATGATTCCAAAAACAATTGCCAACCTCTCACTGTGGTAAAAGGAGCATTTCTTATCATTGCAAAGCTTCACCCAAGAGCCCTTCCTGGTTTAACAGATCAGTCACACATGATTGGTTCATTGGACGTGGATTGAACTTGTAGTCCCTGTTCATTAACTCAAAAGCACCCTTCATTTGATAAACCCGAATAGCTACAAGCACACAAAACAGCAGAAAGCATTGCATGGTTCAGAAGAATTCCTTCATGAAAGTATCTGTTCAAAAATCTCAATGGCCTCAACTCCTCGACATGGTTACCTTATCTAGAAATCAAAGCATCCCAAGAAATGATGCTCTTCTCTTGTAATGCGTCTCATCAAAAATGCACCAAGCATCTTCGGTCCTACTCCATTTGCCATAGAAACCCACCGCTGCCATATTGGCTACCACATCAAACCCAACCTATTATGAACTAAACCTACTTGGCATGTTCTAATAACACTAACTGGGCACAAATCCTAATAATTATTGAATAAGTAAAACAGTCCATCTTCAGACCTGACTCCTGAGGCTTTCATCTCATGATACATATTTAGAGCTTCCTCACTATAACCCATGAAGGCCATACCCTGCTATGATCATATTCCATCCCACCACCATATTCTCTGGCATATATCCCATCAACAAATTAAGCATCTTAATGCTCCCACGCTTGTATATATGACAAAACACACTGACACAGAAATATAAAAATATCTCCACAAGTCCCCATTTTCAACACACAGGAATAATCACAAATACCAACCGAACAGAAGCCGAACAATGGTAGGAAACATTCGGAACCCAGAATCTGGAAATTCCTGCCACATCAGCAGCAACAAGTGGAAGGCCCCCATGAATTCTCCCGAATCGGCAAACCCACCAATAATGGTGGAAAATGAAATTGGACTCCGCTCGGGCATTCTCAAATAATCGTCGTCCATTGATCATCATTCCACATTTCACGTGCATATCTGAATCCCTGTTTCTCGATGTGGTTCAAATCCTCCTCTAATTGACTAGAACCCAATGTATACGCATTGGCTCCACATCGCAAGCACATTAGGATCCCAAATTCTCGAACAATTCCAGTGCCACTTCATACCTTATGGAGAAAACAAACTTTACTATCTGACCACGTAGCCCTGAAGTGGGTTTTCTGATCTGGGTTTCTTCCGGACGAGTCTCCAGTTCAAAAGTTTAGGTGGTCCTTTGGGTTTTCTGGTTGTAGTCTTCATTCAAAAGAATAACATTTGACATAAAAAACTGATCATCTGGACTTTTAACTGGTGTTAGATAAATCAGACCCGGAGAAGAAAAGAATATTTTTGTATGTGAGAATCCTAAACTAGAATCTTAAAGAAAACAAGGAAAGCTAGAACCAGTTTGGAGTTGATCCAGTGATATGTTTTGTAAAGGAGAGGGGAAATCGTCATCATCATTTATAAATTATTTAGACAAGAAAAAGGATCGGTTATTCAACCATAAGATGAACAGAGAACACACCTTTGATCTGTGCCAATAAAGAGGTCGGAATGCGAAGAATTTAAGCTGGTGTTTGGTTTGAAAGAAAAGGTAGGGAAGTTACGACGCACTTCTGTTGCGCGATCTCGTCTTCCCTCCGTTTAGATTTTGATACATTTGACTTTCTGAGTTTCAGCATCGAGAAATCTTCCCTGCGAGAGGTAATATATTTACTAATACGATATTTTCATAATAAGGGGATGTAGCTCAGATGGTAGAGCGCTCGCTTAGCATGCGAGAGGTACGGGGATCGATACCCCGCATCTCCATTTTTCTCGCAATAATTTTTTTTATAGCTTCTCTAATCTCTGTTGATTTTTTTGAAGTAACTATGGCGTAAGTTTTATATTAATTATAGATCTGGCCTTCAATTTATAATGTAATGGGGATGTAGCTCAGATGGTAGAGCGCTCGCTTAGCATGCGAGAGGTACGGGGATCGATACCCCGCATCTCCATTTTAAATTTTTTACATCTCTGATTCCGACCATGATAATCCAAACGGGGCCTAAGTTTCTGAGTAGTAGTAGGAGGAGGAGGCTTTTTATTAGAAGAATTTTCTAAATAGTGACTGGTTTTTTCAACATAGAAGATGACACATATTACGCTAGCTCCTATTGGAGAGATAAAAATAGGTTGCAGAGGGGGGTCTGCTTTTGGGAACCAGGTTGAAAATTTTCTAAGGATGGGCCAAAGATTTTGATACTGCAATTTGCAAATGATTGTCTTAAGAAACTATTAACTAAAATTATGAAAATTCCCTAAAAGTTAATTAATTATAAATTCTACTTAGGAACGCCCATCATCAATGGTAGGATGACTAAAACTACCTTCCAAAACCTCCGTAAGAAAATTGTTGGTAAACTTGCCAAATGGAAGAAGAATACCCTCTTTATGGCAGGTAGAATCACTTTGTTCAATTCTACTATAAACATGATCTCGCAATTTATTTTCCTATGACCAATTCCAAGGGTAGAAAGCCAATTCATCTAATGAATTGGGAAAGAGCTTGTACTCCAAAAAGTAAGGGAAGAATGGGGTTCAAAAATCTTCTTTAGATTAATGAAACTAATCTAACCAAATTGGGATGAAAAATTCTCAAACCTTTGGGTCAAAGTTGTGAAAAGCAAGTACCTTAAACATAATAACTTTAAAATCAAAAAAGGTGTTTCATGGGCTTGGAGAGGGATATTAAAGGTTAGAGAACTTCTAGACAAAGGAAATTATTGGGAGATTAACAATGGTAGATCAGTGAACTTCTAGAAAGATAGATGGATTGGAGAAAAGGTAATAGCCAAATTGATACCTCGAGAAACTATTGTTAATGGAGAGCTCTTAGTTAGTGATGTTATTGATCAAGAAAGGAAGGTGTAGAGGAGGGAGAAAATCTGTAATCTTGTTCCAAACAATGTTTGACTAAAAATCAAGGCTACATTCATCTCTTCAAACCAAAAAGAGGATAAGTTGATTTGATGGTTTAATTCTAACAGCAAATTTTCTTCCAAATCTGCCTACAATTAACCATTTATTGAATCCCGTGAATGGTTACAATTGGAATAATATTGTTTCAAATCTCAAGTGCCCTCCAAAACTGCATGTTTTTATGTACCTTTTATTGAATAATAGACTCCCCACAAAGTCTTTTCTAAGATTTAGAGGAGTGAATACTGATGGAGATTGTAATATTTGTGGGGAGGAAGAGGATGTGAACCATATTTATAGAGGTTGCTCCTTTTGTGAAGAAATGTTTGTTGATTTTTAATCCAGCTATCCAAGGTTTGGATGATCAATAAGGTCTTTTAGAGATTGGTGGTTGAACTTTTTAATAACTTATCGAGTGTGGGGGGAGGGTTAAGAGAAAAATTCGTCTTCCCCCTATGGCAGCTTTGGAAAATAAAAAACATGCGAGTTTTTTAAAATATCTTGATACCCCATACTAAGTCATTGGATAAAGCCCTTGTCCCTTTTGTTGAA